ATAAATAAATTGATTAACATTTAATACATGTCGTGTATTCTTTTCTTTTTCAAAAAAACTTAGTTACATAAAATTGACTAATTAGATAAGTCGTTAAGTAGAATGCCAAGAATATATATGGCGGTTATTGTTGCTAAGGGTGATTAATAGACAAGTAAATTATAAACTAATCAGGGTTTTTTATAAATTATAAACTAATCACAGTAATTTTATTTGTAAACCTAAATAGGAAGGTAACATAATTCGGGTAGAATTGTTTTTAGTTTTTCTCCCAACTTTGATATCTTATATCAAAAAACATGATCATTTGAATAAATATGGACGGTAGTGTATTAACCTTTTTTTGGAACCACAACCGTAAAGATTTGTATTTTATCTACGTGAAGGAAAGTCTATGCAAATATCTATATATGTAAACTTCAAGCTCTTAAATTAACAATCAATATTATTATAAAGTAGACTACATCAAATTTTACAGATTTACATTTACCTAAATATTTTATTGCGGCAATATCTATTTTTTTTAAAACATTTATATGACGTTTTATAAAGTTTAATAAGTCTTCTGTTTATTAAACAGTGTTAAAAGATGGTACAGCATGCCAAAGCGGTTGAAGTACTTGGTTTGGGTTAAAATCCTTTTGCTTACACAGTTTTTTTTTAAATTTTTTCCATTTCTAGAAAACAAAGAAAAATATTTTTAAAGGCCAATAGATATTATATGCATTAAATATATATAAAGATATTATATACTATAACAAACCAAAGCAAAAGAATTTTTAAAACGATTTTTAAAATTCTCCGTTTATGAGTAAAACAAACTATTTTATAAATCTCTTATCAAATCCACTTATATAAGATACTCTTATAAGATCCATATAGGGAAAAGATGCCCATATTAATTTTTTTTTTGCCAATTTTGTCTTGACACGCTTAAAGCAATTTATTTAGAAAACTTTAAAATTATCTTATTTTACCAAATAATATTAAAGTCAGTAAGAAATGATGTGGAATAAATTAGTATAGAAATGGTCGCTTTGGTAAAGACCCATATTTTACTGGTCCAGAAAGCCAGGATATGCATAAAAAGAAAAAGTATAGAGAAGGTTGGTGTGGAATAAACTTACAAAGACCAGTGTTTTTACAGGTTCGGTCATCTGAAATTTGGTCACGTTTCAAGCAGGTATATAGACAAGTACTAATATCCAATAGGCAATTTATGCAACGTTACCGTAACATTTAAAGTTTATTATGGTTAATTATAATATCAATTTTTTATTTTTTATTGCTTTAAGAAAGAAAAAAATAAGTATAGTTTTTCTATATGTATATATCTATTTTTCTACAGCTCACTACAAAATATTGAAGTATGGAATAAGTATAGAATAAGGCAATTTGGAATAAATTTACAAAGACATGTATTTTACGGGTCATGACAGCTAGTATATATATATACATCTATATACACACACTGGTATTTTTTATCATTCTGTATTTTTACTTACTCAATTTTTTCACCCTTTTTTATGCTTCAAACTAAACATTGTTATGATCTTAAAAATATTTTTATAATCAAAAACATTGAGTTGCTTACTTAATAATATCAACTTACTGTTTTTGAAGGCATTTAATTTTTTTATTATAAAATTTGCTTTGTAATTCTGGCCGAACAAATGTGATCGGCCAGAATTGATATTAGGATAAAAAAACATCATTTTTTCAAAAATAGATAATCATTGATCACTAATTGGCGACTATTTGTGTTATTAATTGAAAATTACCAAAGACAGATTGAACTGAAAAAAGAATTTAAAACAATTAAAACATTTAAATAATTAAATAATAAAAACAGATAAGTATTTAAAATAAGATTTATTTCCATGCAATAAAATATTCTCCTTTAATAACAATACCTTTATCTTTCGTGTTCTATCATCCTCAATAAAAACCACCTCAAATTCTTTCTATATTAAATAAAAATGATATACACATAAAACAAAAAACTTAAAAAAAAAAAACAAGTTTTTATTTTACAGAGTTTCAATTTTCATTACAAAACAGCTTTAAATAACTGTGTATATATAAACTAGTAATTTTCATAATTAACTTTAAATACTGATCACATATTTACAAATATCATAAGACATTAACACCTTGACACAATCAAAGTGTTATATGACTTCAAGACCTCATAATAGCTATTTGACGTAGGTTCCTACCGTCTCTAAAAGACAATGTTTATTATAAATGTATTGTATTACAAACTGCAATACAACCTAATATAAGCAATTTGTAATTATGTTAAAGCAAGAGTATTGGTTTTGACTACACAAATAAAGAATTTCCTTGTGAAAAAAAAACAGTGGGCAATGAAACAATAAGCAAACTATTACACCTGCAAAAATTTTATTAAATATATAAGTTAAAACTCCATTCTTAATGCATGAAAAATATTAAGTTTACCTATTGCTAAAAGTGTAAAATAATTGTAAAGAGATGAAAGTTGAGTGCACTTAAATAAGAGTTAAAAAAAATTTAATAATTTTTTCTCTTTATATTATTGCCCACTCGTGCATGTTTAATACTGAACTCTTGGAAACTATTGCAACCGAGGTAAGTGCAAGAAAGAGTTGCAGCACTATTTTTTAAAAATGTGAACAAAAGTATATGCAAATATTTAACTTATGCAAACTTCAAATTATGTAATATTAAAATATATATTAAGATTAACAGTTTTAAATTTACTTGAAATTGCATTGAAACTGTATTTATTTATCTAGTTTTATTCTCTGCACTTCAACCCTTTGGAACTCTCTCTCATCTTCATGTTTTCCTGACTCATACAACCTACAACTTTTCAAGTTTTCTGTCAACGGTTTCCTTGCTCTATAACTCTATTCAATTTTTTCCTAGTAACTCCCAACCTAATAAGGGTTGCTTGCAGCCTAGTTGGAAGTGAATAAGAATTTAAAAAAAAAAAGTATAGAAATAGTCAGTGTGGAAAAGACATGTATTTATGGATGCAGACAGCTAGGATTTTAATTATATATATATATATATATATATACATACATACATACATACATACATACATACATACATACATACATACATACATACATACATACATACATACATACATACATACATACATACATACATACATACATATATATAAGGAAAAAGTATAGAAAAGATCAGCGTGGAATAGACTTTTAAAAACTCATACTTTTATGGGTATATTTAGCTAATAAGTTATTATTATATTAAATGTTTAATATGTACTTTATAAAAAAGTTCAGTTGCTTTCTTTCAAAATGTTATTATTAATTATAATTTTTAAATGGTTAATAAACAAAAACTACATAACAAAGCTTAATATATACTATGTGGAGTTTAAATTTAAAAAACTTGGAAGAAAAAAATTAGTTAGAACTTTCTATTAGGATAGCAGAACTTTATATTTAATAAACTACTTAGTATATATTACAATATATTATTTGTCATATATACTATTTAGCTGTAGTTGTATCGTGGGAAGTTCCAAGTTTGATCCTCACCATGTTTTTGGTAGTACCGCGCATTATTCATCAAGATTCATGTTTCGGAATTATAGAGTTAAAAAAGGGTTTTAACCACAGTTAAAATAGCCTCCTCAATTGTAGTGGTCTTCTTGGCCTTGGGGAGATCAATTAACATTATAAAAAAAAGGACAAGCTGTCATGGCCATGAAATTAATCTGGCCAGGTGATGTTCTATAACCGTGGTAAAAACAACTTACCTAGGTGTTGTAGGTATGGGCAGGAGGAGCTCATAAACTTTGAATGATAAACCTTTTAGTGGTATCAAAATAAAAATACTCAGCCCTGTTTTGGTACACAGGTTAACATCAGAAAGGGCATCCTTTCTGATGTTAACCTGTGTACACAATTAATTATATTTATATATTTACTGAAAATAGCTCCATTAATATTTTTATTTATATTAATGCTGAATAACTAAGAGTTTTTTTTTGTTTTGTTTTGTTTTTTTTTAATTATTCACCTCCCCAACGCCCGAGGAGGCCACTACAGTCAAGGAGGCTACTCATTTTTTTTTTTTTTTTGTTGTTGTTGTAAATTGTGGTACAACCCTCTCTCAACTCTTTTCTCTCCGAAACACGAACCTTGACAAGCAAGGCCGCTGCGCAGAGAAATTAAGTTGAGCGCGGTACTTCCAGGGACATGTTGGGAGTCGAACTCCAAACCTCTTGCTTACAAAGCGAGCGCTCTTACCACTACACCACTACCACATATAACAATTTCGATAAACCATAGCCATACATATAACTATATAACAATTTCGATAAATCATAGCCATTGTTTACTAGCAACAGTAGAAACAACAATATCTTAAATAAACTTACTTTGCCACTAAAATCGAATGGATCTTTAGTATACAAGTTTTTCTTTCCATCATAAACTGGTAAACTTTTAAAAAGCTTTGGGTTACTCTTGACTAAATCAATCATAACTCTCTGATTTAAATTTTTTGGAAGTTTATCTTCATTTATTGCAACATCGTATTGATGAATAGTAATATCAGGAACTTTAATTGGAAAAAAGTTTGCTTTAAGTTTAATGACATTGCCTGCAGTTCCAAGACCAGGCCTTTTTGGAATTTTGTACTCTAAAATTGAAAAAAATTTTACAGTCGTTTATAACAAAGCACTAATAATTTATCAGAACAATTTTTACAAACAAATACTTTTTCTTCTAATTTTTTAAAATAAATACCTTTTCCTCTAATTTCAGAAGAGTATGATGTTGATCCTACTGAAGAAACAGATTTAGTAAATTAGACATTACAAATAAAAAAAAGAACTTTTAATAAATAAATACAACAAAATAGAAAGTATGATTTAAAAAATACAATTGGAATGAAACAATCTAAAATGTTATTATAAATACTATCTTTTGTGAATAAACACAAAATTTCCATATTTTGCATTAAATTTTTTTTCCTTTAGCACTTTCATTAAATTTGCATATACTTGTATATTATAATACATTGTATACAAATCTATTGACTCCAACACTTTCATTTAATTTGAATAAACTTTTATATCAAAACACATTGTATACAAATCTATTAATAGTAGAATATTGTTAAAACACTTGGACTATTGATAAAACACTTGGCTTACAACCCATATTTACATTGTTACAGTTTTTTAGGATCATACTTGTGTAATTTGAGGGAAAGGAAATAAGGTAACCATTTCTTTAATCATTATTTATCTTAAAATATTTTAAATCAAAATATTGACCTGATTGTTTGCTGATATCAGAATGTTTTCCATAGTTAGATTTCTAATTAATATTTTATCTAATTAAAGTTCATATTTTCTCTGCATTTTTATAATTTTCTTGTTTTGCTTAATGATTTTCTTGTTTTGTCTGATGATTTTTTTAATGCTTTTTTAACATGTAACCCAGTACAATCTGCTTCATGTCCTGCTGCCTTGTAGGATACGCCTTTTTACGCAAAGGCTAGGAGATGCCAACTCCAACATAAAACACCCCCTGCCTTGGAGCTCTTGGTTGAATAAAGGCTAGAGATGGTGTCTCGATAAAAATACTCATCTTGGGCTTGAGATGTCAAATGTATCCGGCTGCTGTCTTGTAGAAGGCCTCCTAGGCAAAGACTTAAGGGGTAAACAGATTCTATCTGTTGACCAGCCTCGCACACCTTCTTCATCTATTAGGCTGGCGCAGATGTATTTTTAATACATTGTTTCCAGTTTAGGATGTTGAATGCTGGATCTTCTTGACTCAATGCATGGGTTTTGCTTGTGTCTCTGTTTTTATGACTAGGCAACTCATTTTATTATATCCTAATGAGGGTACAGCTCTAAAACTCAGTTTTGTGATTCTGAGGCCGGCTGGTAGTCAGGTTTCCCAAATTATGTGGTAGCTTTCAGAGAGGCTGATTCCATCAACAGCTGAAAAATATCAAAGTATTAACAGTGCCATGTTGCGCATAGTTGGTGTCTCTGTTTGTACTTTTGGTGTGCATTGCCAAGGCCACATTGGAGCCTTTTGTTACAGCTTAGGGTTTATTAATAGTAATGAGGCAATTGCTTGGGCTATTAAACAGTGTACTGAGTACTATCTATGTTTCGAGTCAAGTTCTTTAACAAATTTAAAAATGAACAAAATAAAAAAAACTATAAAACACAACCACTATCATCACCAAGTTCGCTAAACCTATCATTCACTAATTTTCGTGGTCTTCAAAGTAACTTTTCTTCTGTAGAGTCTTATCTCTTGCAAAGTTCACCAGACCTACTTGCTCTTTGTGAGACTAATTTGAGTTCAGCTGTCTCATTTTGTGATCTTAGTGTTAATGGTTATCTTCCTTAAATTCGTTAAGACTCCAATAGTCACATGCTTGGCCTGGGCATTTACAGCAGTAAACTGGTTTCATATTGAACATTATAAGTAGAATTTGCACATTAATTTGTCATGTTTTGCACCAAAATTTTAAGTATTAAATATGACTGATTAACTAAAATTGACAACTACATTTTGCTACAAAATTTAATAAATATTAATTCTTATATATTAATAAAAATCGTTACAAAGAAAATGGTTATAATAAAAACAAACTGTTAAAAAAATAACATTAAAAAGAGCATGAAAAAATATAAAATAAGTTTTAAATGTTGACATCAGATAATCTAATAAAAAATAGCCCCCAATAACATTTTTACCACTTCCCAATTTTTGTCGAACTTTAGCTCAGTTTATTTCCAGTGATTCTCAAATTTTTTAAACATAATATTCTGAATATATGGTTTGGGATGTAACCATTCAAATGTACCTTGGAATGTTCAGTAACACCCGAACTGGCCCATTTTCCTTTTAAACTATTTTTATGGCACCCAATACATCTTGATATAATTATCTTTTTGGTTTCACCAATGAATTGCATAAACATTTTATTTAGTAGATGCCTAGGTTTATATTTGGAGGAAGTTTTGTCTTATTGTTGCAGAATATATTGTTTAAATTTAGAGCTGATGTGAATATAATATAACTTTTATGTTTTGTTTTCTAAATTATTTTATAATTTTGGTACCAACAATTGGCATCCATGGTAGCTTTATAAATGGTTGGTTGTCAGTTGGTTGATAATTGGATAATTGGTATTTTTAAATCATTTTTTATATGGCGGTATTACTTAGATTGTTTTTGTTGTTTTCGAAAAATATTTTTATCAGAAAATTAATTTCTTGTTGGAGGTATTTTTGAGAGCATATTATTTTTGTATGGCATAAAAACCCTTTGAATACGCCAGAGATAATATTAGGATTGATGTTTGAATTAGGTTTAAGTTGAATATTAGTTATTGCTTTTTTTTCGATGTAATTGATCTTTGTATGCATTGTGTTTGTAATATTAATATCTAGAAAATTAAGTAATGTTCAGTGGTTTTCGAGTTCGATATATCAATAATAACTGGAAAAATTTCATTAATGAGTATGGACGGATACAAACTAATTATACCAAATGAAACTTGAACTTCATTGGGATCTATTTTCTATTACCTGGTTTCATTAACAGAACTATTTGAATTAATCAGTCTTTTTTTATTTTTGTTTGGTGTTAGTTGATGATACTAACAAGGTACTTGGATGTTCCACATGGTGGTTTATTGATAGTTGATTTAAAAGGAGGCATTGGGTAATCTTTTTTAGGTTTGTGTACCTAAACTATTCCATATATTCTAGGTGGCACACAATCTGATGGATACATTTTAAAATTTAATTGTGTCTAACTTACCCTTTTTTTCATAATTTACACAACTGTTTTTGAAATTTGGTAGTAAATGTGGGTGTTGGGTCATGATCAATATTTATTATGCTATTTTTAATTTGTTCTTTTAATTTAAGAAATGCATTCTTTTGGTATAGTAATGCAAAAAAAGTGCCTTTGTCAAAGGGATAAATCTTAACATCTGAATTCATCTTTAGTTTTCTTATAGAAGTACATTGATGTTTATTTAAATGACCTTTAATCATAATTTTAATGAATTTCTCAAAATATTAGAACAGTTTTGTCTCAGAGATTCTGCCTGTATTGATTTAGCCTGTTGTTCAAGTTGTAAAACACATATTTCAATATTACTTATGTCCATATACATATAAATAGGGGACTTTCTTCTGTAATGGCACCAACTTTGGACCTAAATTGAGTAATTCAGTTGTTTCTCTATCCAAAAAAACATTATTTAAATTAAGCATAGCAGGTTTAAAATTTGATTAGGAAGATTTATTCGAAGAGTACTCTTTATATTTGATTTAGTTTGTAATTTATAGTACATAATCATTTAATCTTACTTTATTCTGAAGAAATATATTTTATTCATCAAAAAATTTCTTACTTAAGTATAGTCTGTGCTTTGCTTTGTTACAAACATGAGCTAATTAAGGAATACATTTATGTATCCCTTCATTATGTTCTTTGCTTTTTTAGTATATATTGGTGTTTTTATATGAAACGATTTTTGTTATTTGTTATACACTCTTGAAAAAACGAGTTGGTTTTTTGCAAGCCTTCTCGGAAAGAACATGCGGTTGCATGCCTCGTTCGTCCACGTCAGTAGTAACTTTTTAGACACACTGACTACGACAGTTTGCACCTTATAACTTAAAAAGGAATCAAAATTGTAATGAAAAATCAAATTTTAATTAAATAAACTAAAAAAATTTAATAATTTGAAATTTGAAAATTTGAAAACTTAAAAGAAAAAAGAATTTGTATAAAATTTTTATACAACTTTTTTTTTTTTAGGGTGGTTGTTACTACCAAATTTTTTTTTTAGGGTGGTTGTTACTACCAATTTTTTTTGTTAGGGTGGTTGTTACTACCAAATTTGGTATCAACCAAATTTTGATATAAATTGATGAAAAAACATATTTTATAACAATTTAATGACAATTGAAAGTTTTGATATGCAATTTATTCACGATTTTGTTAGCCTATATAATAAGTAACTAATTTGCAATATATGCTAGAACTATGAGAAATTTTGTTAATTTTTTTTCTTACATTTATTTGTTTTCACGTCTTTGCGCTTTTAAAAATGTTTTTGCTAAATCTATGTTAACATGAAATACTAGAGATAATAAACATAACAATTGCTCTGTTTAAAAAAATGCTTTTAAAAACATAAAAAAAAAATTTAAAGTGGCTCCAAAATATTTTGTTAAAAAAGTTACAGGAAAGGAAATTACAGAACACTAACCCACAAGTTTTTGAAGCATTGCCAATAGCAACAGTTCATCAGGAAACAAACTATCTGGTTGCAAAATATGCACAAAATACACAATTTTGCAACCCGAATGCAAAGGGGAGGATTGAACGAAAGAGCAGACTTTTTAAATGGGGGTAGGGAAAACAATAAAATATTTTATATTTGAATATTAATAACAATGACTAAATTGTTTTACATGAAAAACTTGAAAAAAAAAATTTTCTATTAATAAATAGCAATTTTTTTTCTTGCTTTCCTGTGCATTGATAAAAACAGTAAAGTTTAATAAAACCATTTAAAAAATAAATTTCAAAGTTGTCCATATTTCTAGTGCAAATGTGTTTCCTTAATATACTGACTGACAAAAGTCATAAATAAAATTAATATATCGAAAATTGCTTTTATTTTTGTTATTTTCTTATCTGCTTTTTTCCTTGACTTAAATCAATTTTGATAGTGAAAAATGACAAACCCCCTAAAAAAAAAAGAAAAAAGTAAGAGTAAAACATTTAGGTATATTATTTTTTGACTAAAATTTTTTTATTTTAATTTTCAATTTTTTTTTTTAGTCTATTTTATTTAGATTTTTTTTAGATGTTCTATAGTATTTGTTTTCTTTTCTTTGAGTATTGCTGTTTTATTCTCTGTATCACTGTTTTATTCTGTATACCTTTTTTTTACCGCCAATTCTTAAAACGTTTACTATATAAAAACGTGGTCAAGTTATTTAAATTACTTGAAACATGAACAAACAAGAAGTACGACTGCTGGCCCTTGCCAGGAAGGCTTGTTTTGCATTAGCATTTCACATTTTCAAATCTTGTCACTTTTTGGTACCATTGATCAATTGCTCCAGAATATCATATTCAAAGAAAATGACTTACAAGGATTATATATATATATATATATATATATATATATATATATATATATACATATATATATATATAGATATATAAATAAATATATATATATATATATATATATATATATATATATATATATAAATATATATATGTATATATATATATATATATATGTATATATATATATATGTATATATATATATATGTATATATATATATATATATATATATATATATATATATATATATATATATATATATATATGAATATATATATTTATGAACGGTAATGTACTCGATGAGTCTCCTACCCTTCATCTTCTAGGATTAACTCTTACTTCTGATCTTTCTTGGAAACCTTATATCAAATCCGTTGCAAAATTAGCATCTGCTAAAGTTGCTTCTCTTTATCGAGCTCGCCACTTTCTTACTCTGGATTCTATTCTCTATCTCTATAAATCTCAAATCTGGCCTTGTATGGAATACTGTTGCCATATCTGGGGTGAATCTTCTAATGATGCCCTTTCTCTTTTAGACAAGGTGCAAAAACGCATTGTAAACATAGTTGGACCTGCTTTTGCAGCCAACCTTCAACCTCTGTCACATCATCATAATGTTGCTTCTCTTTCTCTTTTCTACAAATACTATAATGGGTACTGCTCAAAAGAGCTAGCGTCTCTTGTGCCATCTACTAAAATTAATTTACGTGTTACTTGTCATTCAATTAAGTCTCATCCTTTTTCTGTTACTGTTCCTAAGTGCTCAAAAAACTCTTATTCGTCTAGTTTTTTTCCTCGAACATCAGTTCTTTGGAATTCGCTTCCTTCATCTTGCTTTCCTGATTCATGTAATTTGCAATCTTTTAAGTCGTCTGTCAATCGTTATGTTGCTCTACAATCTTCATCTTTTCTCTTCCAGTAACTTCCAACACTAATTAGTGGTTGCTTGCAGCCTTGTTGGAAGCGAAGATAATTAAAAAAAAAAAAAAAAAAATATATATATATATATATATATATATATATATATATATATATATATATATATATATATATATATATATATATATATATATATATATATATATATATATATATATATATATATATATATACTTTGTTCAATACTAAAGTATATACTTAATGTATATACTTTAGCATTGAATAAAGAAAAATTGCAACTCAAACTAAAATCTCATATCAAAAATTCGATCTCACAAGAATTCACTTTAGTGGAACATTCATTAAGTCGACCCATTTTCCTTGGTCTCTTGAAGAAATATATATATATATATATACATATATATATATATATATATATATATATATATATATATATATATATATATATATATATATATATATATATATATATATATATATATATATATATATATATATATATATATATATATATATATATATATATAAAGGCTTGGTCAGGAAGCAAGAGCGATCGCTCTCGAATACTGACCACGGAATTTATATTTAGTTGCGAAAAAATTGCCAGGTTTTTAAGTTGTTTTGAGAACATTTATGTTTATGTACGAAACAAAATATTTTTGTTTTACGGACATACATGGAAACATAAAAAACTTGAATGTTCTCAAAACATCTTGGTGAAAAAGAATAAAAAGAATATTCGCAAACACTAAAAACCTGCCAAATTAACGAACAAACTAATTCTATTGGTTCAAAAAATACGTTGACTAGGCGAAATAAAATTCTAGAGAATTCTGTTGAAATGTTTTAGAAATTGTATTATTCACGATTTGTTACGTTTTGAGATTTTTAGCATAAATTATTTTAAGAATATAAATTATTTGTTTACAAAAATAAATATGTATTCTTTATGTAAACATGATTTTGTGTATCTGTTTTTTATGGTAATGTATCTTTTAAAGCAATTTTTATGATTTAAATAAAGACTTACAAAAATAATTGCATTTTCAATGAAGTTATAATCATTAAAGTTAATAAAACTAATTATATAACAAACATATAAGAAGTTTCAAGTTACTAAACACAAACAACGCATACAAAGTAACTCGCGGAAGAACAAGCATTGCGCCTGAGGTCACGACAGAACACAAATATATATAGCAAATATTTAGATATAAAGAAAAGTTTCTAGATAATGGTTTACAAACTCTAATTATTATCGCTTAAGTTGCCATTCTTAAAACTTGTTATACTTTTTACTGCTTTAAATAGTAATTAAAATTAAAAAGCCCACTCACTAAACATCATCAGCGATATTGTGAAGCAGTTTCGCTTCCTTGTCATAAAGTATTTTTAACCTTTTTTAGTTGATTTCTATCTTGTTAATTTAATTTCTATAGTAATTCAATGATTTAATTATTTCATTTGTTTATCTTACTAAGAAGAATTGCTTCAAATATGTTAAACTTTTCAAACTACGCGAAACATAAAATAGGTGTTAAAAAAATTAACTTTTTTTTTTATAAAATTTTTTTTATAAAATAATTTAGCTTAAATAAAACTAAAACTTGCAAACTTTGCTAAATAAAGATAATTTGTTTTCTTTTTAAACAATCGTTTAAAATTTTACTTATAAATATAAAAAACATCACTTAATTTTATGAAAAAAAATTATAAAAGAGTGATGTTTCGAAAATATTTGTTCTAAACATAATTTATTTAGCTTTAAGTTTTTTCGCGTTAAAGATATTTTATTTGCCTAATTTTTTTTTTTTTTTTTTTTGTAATTGTCTCTCATCGCTCCAATTAATCTTTTGTGCTTATTTTTTTTGCTTTTAAAAATGTTCTCAAAATGACTAAAAAAGCTGTCCAAAATCTGTGTGTGTGTGCGTGGGTGTGGGTGTAAGTATATACAAAAGTCAGTAAAAAAAAAGTATTCTTGAAACCTCTACACCATTGTACCCTAAAAAATTACACTTCTACAACCTCTTACAGTTAAAGTTATTAAAATTGTGTTTTAGTAATACTTCATATTATTTATTTTATATCATCTATTTAAACTTGTTAAAAACTTATTATTCAATGGGTTGAAAGTTTGGTATGTTTAAGAATGACAACATAAAATGCTAAATTTGTTTCTGCTAAAAAATTTGCTTGAATCTTTCTGCAACTGGCTATATTAAATTGTTAAATATATATGCTAAATATTTATTCCTTAATTAAAATTTATTATGAGTTATTTTAAATTTTGTAAAAAGCATAATTACCATTTACTGCTGATGGTCTAACTGTTTTTGCTTCAGGTTGTTTTTGTTTAGAAGGTGATACAGAAAGTACTTCTAGATTTTGCACTGTTTGATTTAAATCTATATCAATAATCAGATTAAAAGCATCAAAATTTCACATAAATATTTTTACAAAATGATTATACAAACAAAAAAAACAAAAAAAAGATTTCTTTACCAACTTTTTTTTTTTAATGTATAAATATATATATTCTCATATATTATATCCACACTTTTGCATTATATACTCTTATACTATCTTACATTGCACAACCTTTTTTTAAATGTTTAAATATATATAAAACTATTGCAAGTATAAAATTGATTATGCAAATAAAAAAAAAAGCATTTGTGTTTTTCTTGAATTTTATGAACTCCATAAAAACAAGATTGCTAAAATTTAAACAATTGATAATGTGTTGACTAATTTTCTTACTGTTTTGACTAATATTAACTAAATTTGTCACAAATAAAATTTTATTAAACTAAAAATACAAATTCAAATACTGATAATATAAAGTTATAATTTGAGACAACTGGCCATTAATAATATAAAGTTATGATTTAAGACAACTGGCCATTAATAATATCAAGTTATGATTTGAGACAACAGGCCAATGATAATATAAAACTATGATTTGAGACAACAGGTTATTGATAGTATAAAGTTTTGAACACACATTGTAGAATGGTTCTTTGAGTGTTATTTGTAAGTTTTTTAGTAAATTTATATTATTTTAAACTGTATTTGTGCTGTAAACTTTGAATAAATGTTTAATATATGTTAATGGGTTTTCTTATATTACATTATCATATATCTTATATAACCTTATTTTTCCATGGTCACTTTTTACAGTTTTTCTTAGAAAAAAAATTGTTTAAAATTTCAAATTCAACACTGATCAGATAATTAATAATAACTTTTTTTCCTGCACCCAAAGTATGATGAAGTTATTGTATGATGTAACAACACTAAAAGCCTGTTGGAAAGTATGATGAAGTTATTGTGTGATGTAACAACACTAAAAGCCTGTTGGAAAGTATGATGAAGTTATTGTGTGATGTAACAACACTAAAAGCCTGTTGGAAAGTATGATGAAGTTATTGTGTGATGTAACAACACTAAAAGCCTGTTGGAAAGTATAATGAAGTTATTGTGTGATGTAACAACACTAAAAGCCTGTTGGAAAAGTTTTTATTTCAATGATGATAAAATCATCAAGCTTAAGCTTAAAATGTTGATCAATTTGAAAAGTGAAAAAACAAGTAAACAGTAAGGCTATGGTTATTTTGATAAAAAAATTAAACAAAAATTACCTTTCTTTAATTCAGCAGCCAGACTGGCTACTTTTGCATCAGGAACCTTTTGTGTATTAGCATGACCATTTATTGAAATTTCATCTTGTTTGATAGGCTTTTCTAGCCTTTTATCTCCTTGTGTGTTAGATTGACTTACTCCTGTATCTTCTTGTTTTATAGGTTTACTAATTACCTTTTCTTCTTGTTTTATAGGTGAACTAACTCCCTTATCTTCTTGTTTTATAGGTTGACTAACTCCCTTATCTTCTTGTTTTATAGGTTGACCAATTACCTTTTCTTCTTTGTTGGAACCTATAAATTAAAATTAATTCTACTATAAATATCTAATTAATGGAAAAAAGTTGTTATATATATTACATCCTATTTATCTAAATGAATTTTTAGGTTTTAATAATGTTTTAAAACTTAAAATGTTATCTGCAAAGAAAAGGATACATTATTTTAGAACATTATATTTCTTTAAAAATGTCAAAAAAAAATGCTTCATTTTAATTGGTTGAAATACAATAAAAACTCATTAACAACTATGAAAGTATGAAAAATCATGTAGTTGATAAAAAAGCAATAAATGCAAATAATTAAAACTAGAATTTTTTAAATTGCTCAGTTTAACAATGTGTTATAATTTATATATAATAATAAATTTATTATATATTATATAACCACATAACACAATGTGTTATGTGGTTATATAAACAAAATTGACAGACTTGTTAGCACTGATTTTACTGTATATTTTAGTAATTTTTTTTTAATTACACTTCAATCATTACACCATGGTTAATGTTGGCATCATTGAAGTAATAAAGCATTAAGCTTCAGAATGTATATCAATATCAATATCAATTATCATAACTTTTTGTTAACAAAATTTTCCTTGACACTTTCTTTTCAAAAAGTCATTTTTCTAAGATCATTTCATAAACTTTAACTTTGTGAAATGATGACAAAAAATATTGAACAAACTCAATTTAATGTTCAGAAGGAGCAACTTTAAACCAACATTGTCCTTCATTTTGCATAAAATCTCCAAATTTCTGATCAATCGGAGAGTGACTAGGAATCTGATGACAATGAGGAAGATTTTAATGGAGAGTTTTTTTTAAATCACTTTTAATTATTCTTGTATCTGGTCAGGTGTTTAAGTATAACCTGGTCAGGTGTTTAAGTATAACCTGGTCAGGTGTTTAAGTATAGCTTTTTTACTTCTTCATTTTGTTAATGGTATTTTTAAACCTTAGGATTTCCACTCTTTATCAATTTCTTCGCTATTTGCCAAATTTAAAAATGGTATTTAGCTTTAACTATTAACTTAGCAAGAATTAACCCAGAACAAGAATTTGGTTTTTAAAGAAAACTTTTGTTAACTACTTTATGCAACTGATGAAAATTCTGACTCCAAAAGAAAATGGTATTTATGTTGTATGTAGGGCAAGTCTGTAATTCCACCTCTTTTGTATGGTTCAGACTTTGTCACCTCACCTAAAGACAAAGCTGAATTGTTTGCCAAGAACATTTCATCAATATCATCTCTTGATGCCACTAGTTGCGTTCTACCTGATATAGCCGTCAAACAGGTTGAATCATTGCTCGACATTCGTATCACTCCAGCTTCTGTATCTAAAGTGATTTCACACTTAGACTCTTATACAGCTTGCGGCCCGGACAACATACCTTTTATAGTCTTGCAGAAGTGCTCTCCGGAGTTGTCGTCTATCCTTTCAAAACTATTTAACAAGCGCTTATCAGAGTCTTGTTTTCCAGCCTGCTGGAAAGCAGCATCTGTTATCCCTATTTTTAAAAATTCTGGAGAGCGATCCGATTCATCTAACTACCGTCCCATTAGTCTTCTTCCTATCATAAGCAAGGTTTTTGAACCTTTAATTAACAAACACTTAATCTCTCATCTCGAATCTCATAACCTACTTTCTGATCATCAATATGGATTTCGATCATCTCGTTCTACGGCTGATTTGCTATCAGTAATAACCGATAGGTTTTATCGTGCATTAGATAAAGGTGGAGAGGTTAAGGCCATTGCTTTTGACATTTCTAAAGCGTTTGATAAAGTTTGGCATGCTGGTCTTCTCCATAAGCTTTCTTCTTACGGTGTATCTGGAAACATCTTTAAGATTATTGAATCCTTCCTTTCCAATCGTAGTATAAAAGTTGTCCTTGATGGACAGCACTCTTCTTCTTATTCTATAACCTCGGGAATTCCTCAAGGTTCAATCCTTGGCCCAATACTCTTTTTAATTTACATTAACGATCTTCCAGATATTCTCACATCTAAGGTGGCATTGTTCACTGATGATACTACCATTTATTCTTGTCACAATAAGAAGCCAACTCCCGCTGATTGCTTGCAGGGGGCATCTGAGCTTGAAAAGGATCTCACTTCTGCTACAGCAAGGGGCTCACAGTGGCTGGTGAACTTTAATTCAGATAAAATTCCATTTTTCAGCCAATCGTTATTGCAATAGTTTAGACCTTCCTATATTTATGAACGGTAATGTACTCGATGAGTCTCCTACCCTTCATCTTCTAGGATTAACTCTTACTTCTGATCTTTCTTGGAAACCTTATATCAAATCCGTTGCAAAATTAGCATCTGCTAAAGTTGCATCTCTTTATCAAGCTCGACACTTTCTTACTCTGGATTCTATTCTCTATCTCTATAAATCTCAAATCCGACCTGGTATGGAATACTGTTGCCATATCTGGGGCAGATCTTCTAATGATGCCCTTTCTCTTTTAGACAAGGTGCAAAAACGCATTATAGTTGGACCTGCTCTTGCAGCCAACCTTCAACCTGTCACATCGTCGTAATGTTGCTTCTTTTTCTCTTTTCTACAAATACTTTAATGGGTACTGCTCTAAAGAGCTAGCGTCTCTTGTGCCATCAACTAAAATTCATTCACGTGTTACTCGTCATTCAATCAAGTCTCATCCTTTTTCTGTTACTGTTCCTAAGTGCTCTAAAAACTCTTATTCGACACACAAAGACACACAATCCAGAAGATTTGAAACTAAGAATAAAAGAACTAGATACCAAAAAAATGAAAAGAAGCTGAAAATTATTAAAATCTTATGAACGGTATGATTCAAAGTAATTCCTAATGCAACAACAACAAATGAACAGTTTTAAATGCAACAGCAACAACTACAACAACAAATTGTTTTGTTTGCTATTTTAATTAAAAAACTAAATAAATAGACAAACCATATAAGTATTATGATTTGAATAACACTTTTTATATCAGTTGTAATATCAACAATATGAAAATTATGATTATGAAAATTATTTTTATTATGATAAATAAAAATATACTTGATACTTGTGTATTCTATATTCCATATTCCCGAAATCTCTCTAAGTTAATTCATTTAATCATCTTATCATATCAGCAACACTTGTTGTTAGTTATTATAAAAAAAAGGCAAATAAACAATTTACATAAAATACTTTTCTAATATTGGGGGTTTACAAATAAGAAATTAAGAAGATGTTTCCATATAAACATATTTGTCAGTAAAGGAAGCCCCAAGTGCCAAAACTATGTTCATATTAAAAAGAAAGTTTAAAAATTTGTTTGTTAATTTTAAAAAAAAAGTCAATTAAAAAATAATAATAAATGCATAGCAAGAAAAGCTAACTTTTTTAGTCAAAGTTTGCCGTTTCCCTCATAGTCAGAATTTTTTAGTCAGAAAGTCAGTCTTTAAAATATAGGCGCTTTTCTTGATTCAATTTACAGACTTTTAATTTATTTAGGTGTGTTCAATTCTTAAGAGTTTCAGAATTAAAAAAATGATGTCATTGAATGCTTTTTTTTTAGAAACAGTCAAATTTTTTTTTTCCATATACAATCAACAAATCCCTTTTATTTGTATTAATTTTCACAAAATCTCATAACATAATTGTAAAAAAATTATTTAGCATATTTGATTTTTTAAATTTCATTAATGAAACTTATTTATAACAATCGTCAGGATAATTGTAAATATCTTTGATATATTTATAAGTTTATATACCTTACATATGTACTTTTCGTTTTAAAGTAATACAAAGCATACATCTATGATTTTTATAACAATTTTATACATTTTATAGAATGCTAAATATGAGAATGATTTTTGTAGAGTGTAAGATCCAAATAAAATTTAGATTTTTATGGTAGTCTCTAGCAAATTATAATTATGTTAAAAAAATACATTGGTCACCTGATATATTCTGATTCTTATTTATTTTTATTTTAACAATGTGAACTTTATTTCTAGTTTCATCTAGGCCATTGATTGCCACAAAATTTGTGTTCTCATTTCAAACTTCCTATTCAGATATTTTATGACTACTTAAATTTTTAATTTATAATTAATTTTGGTAAACAACAACATTTATTAGAGATATTTGAAGAATTCTTAAAATTTTCAAATTAGAAAATATTGATAATTATGTTGAATTAGTTTAAATTACTAAATTTCATTAATTTGTTAACAAAATAAATTTTCAAATAAGATAAATTTTGTATTTCTATGTTTACAAAATAAATGCTGTTAAGTTATACTTTTATACTGTTAAATAAAATAAAAAATTATTATCAGAAATTTGATAAGATAATAAGTTAATTCATTATTTAATAACATTATATATAACAAAAAACCAACTTATAGCAATAAACAAGCTTAAAATCTGAAATTTTAGAAATGAAAAAAATATAAAGAATTTTAAGATTTCTTATCAAAATTATGCAATGATGTCAAATACTAAAACTCTTTAGAATTAAACTCACTAAAAAAAGTAAATGTAATGATAATAAACAAATGATTAAATATAAAGTCTGTAAATTGCATCAAAAAAAGCGCATATAGTTTAAAGACTCTGACTAAAGTAGAAATCTTCTACTAAAATTGCAAAGCTAGTTTTTCATGATACACCATTATTATTTTGTTTAATAAAAAAATTCAGATCAAACATTTTTTTAAACATTCTTTTAAATATGAACACAAATTATCTTGGCACTTAAAGATCCCTTAAAATCAAATATAAGCAAGCTTTTTTAGGGGATACGTGCAGTCATACGCTTTATATGACCATGCATATTTAATTTTTGGACAACTTGGCTGTAGTTTTTTGCATACATTGAAAATTTGTGTTTTAAAAAATGCACTGAAAAAACCAAACTAATTTAAAGAGAAAATTAAATATAAAAAAACTATAAATTTAATATACTTTTTAATTTAGAAGCATCTCAATTAATTTGTTTAGTTTTTTCCTCTGAATTTTTTGTAGT